CATAATAAAAAATAATTTAAAAAAAAGAATAATAAATTGGTTCCATAATTCTTGTAAAGGTGATCAGTTAGAGTTTTAAAAATTTATTATGAATTTATGAACTTTAATAACTATCATGTGTTTATTCTTTGCAATTGTTATTATTTTTGATGCTCAAATTGTCCCATATTTGAACTTGAGTGGGAATCCCCTCATGTTGACTCTTGAATCCTTTTGACACAACCCCAGTAGTTTTGTGGGGTTTTTGTTTTGTTTTGTTTTTTGATGTTTGACAGATTCTTTTATTAACAATAAAAAAACTTCACACTTGTTACAATAGGAAAATAAATGTTTCTTTAATGAGTAATTAAATTAAAACTATCTAGGACCCTACAGGATTTTTAATGTGTACTATGTTTGGCGCATATCTTGGAAGACAGGATGTTAGCTTGCTGGAATCATTAGGGTATGACTGAAAATGAGAAATAGTAATTTATAAAACATTTATTTAATTTTATTTAGTGTTCCCAAACAGTAATTCCTCTGAAATTAAAACAAAATAAAATTCATATTTATAACTGGGTTTATATATGACTCACAACACATATCAATCTTATTTTTATGATTTTGATGTTATGTTTTTTAAGGTACTCAATAAAAATTCAAATCTCATTTTAAGATCATGAATTTGAGGTGTGCAGTAAAACAACCTAGTAGTTTTTGATAGCTTCCTTGCTTACTGGTATGAATATGCCTTGTACACATTGTCTTTTCTTATTTTTACCATTGTACCTTTGGGATATATTCCTAGAAGTAGAACTGTTAGATTGAAGGGTAAAAGCATATGTAATTTTGCTAGATAGGGTGAAAGGAATTATGCTATTTTCATTTCCACAAACAATGTATAAAAGTACCTTTTTAACACAGTTTCTCTAACAGTTTGTGGTTAAGCTTTTGGATTTTTGCCAGTCTGGTAGGTGAGAAATGGTTTCTCTGTGTAGTTTTAGTTCAGCATATTTTTATGTTCAACACACATTTTAATAAGTTGGTGATAGTGAGCCTACATTAACATATAAAGAAAAAAATTTGCCATTAGCCATCTAAAATTTAATGAGTTGGCTCTGACCCTCAAGCTGCAGGCTATTTGTAGTAAGGAATAAGGGGGATAACATCTCATATTTGTAAAATGCTTTAAAATCGGCAAATTACCTTTAACAGTCATTATCTGATTTGACTGTCATGTGTAGAGGTTCACAACAGGCCTCCCCAAAATGTGCCACTTTGACATGTGAATTTATTTTGAGCTGAAGGCAAACAAGACACTGCAGGCACACAAGAAACTTTTACTTCTCTCTTAAAGACTATACATTAGAAGCCTTACCCATAATGAGTTATCACTAGAAATAACTTTTTATGACCTATCTATAGGGCAGGGCAAACTTCTAATTGGTGAACATGTGCTTTTCTTATGGTTCTGCAATGACCCTTTCGCCCCCGGAAGACCCAAGGTGATTCTTAGCTAAGAATGTCAAATATCCCTCATTTTCCCTTTCTGTCTTTGAACCTCTCATATATGTGGGGTCTCTGACTCTCTTATGTTTGCGGGATTCTCATGTATATGTATATATTCGATTTGGTTATTTTCTCTTATTAATCTATCTTATGTCAATTTAATTATTAAACCAGCCGATAAAAACCTAGGAGGGTAGAGGAAAGTTTTTTTCCTCTTCCACACATGAAAATCCCTAAAAGATAGGACAGATACTATTGCCCGTTTTATAGAAGGGGAAACTGATGTTTTAGAAGATTGAGACTTTCCAGTTTAACACAGCAAATAGTAGAGCTGGGTTTAAATTTCAAACTTCTGATCTACCTATGTACAAATTCTATGCTTTGTTTTCCTGTTATTTGCTAAAGAAGGCACAACCTATATTACCCAGGAGGTGGCAGTGCTCTCTTATTAATCATTGGGAATTCACTTTCCCATTGGAGATGCTTTTTTAAAAGGAAGTGAAAATTGTATTCTTTTAACTAACATTCTTGAGCATAAATTTTGTTTAGGTGTTAAAGATAAAAAGGTTAATAAAGTTGGTGTTTGCTCCCTAGGAGCTTACAATCTGGGTGCAAGAGGTGGGGCAGAGTTAAAAGCCTATACAAATTTTGTACAAAATGCTATGGGAATACAAATTTATAATGGACCTTTTGAGGTGGTGTCTTTTTAAAGTGATAATAGCAACATAGTTTTATCTAGCACACAGATGAGAGACACAAGTAAATTCAAGCTCTCTGACTTCCTAATGACACAAAAATAAGCAATAAAAGAAAAATAGTATATCTTATAAATACAAAGGGAAAAGCTTATAGATGTCCTAATGTGGCATTCTATCACTGGCAACACTATTTTCAGTGTTTTTATGAAAAACATCTTCCATTTTGGGTGTGCATAGAATCTAGTCTAGTCCTTTCTTTCTACATTTTGCTAAATTTCTGACCCAATGATTCTATATAATTTGATTCCTGTATTTTTTTAGTGTCTGGTAAAGGACAAGTCTACTTGAAGATTTTGTTAGGATATTCCCTGTAGTTTTTGACCAAAGTATTTGTTGCTATAGGAGGGGAATGCATACTATTAGCAGTGATATTTAGGGTGTGAGATAAATAATTCCTCAGAGTTGTCTGTCTTTTCCCTGTTTTCCAGTGAGTTAAGTCAAGGAGTTGAGAGGCCAAACTTGCCCAATTTCTAGTTTTAGACCAATTTTGTCATTCCATCCTGCATCAGAAGGGGGCAGGGCTAAGCTTTTTGTTGTTGTTTGATGCATCTCCTTAAACTTTCTTGCCTAAGGAAGCTGGTGTGTTAAACAATACTTTTTTTTCCACTTCTTCCTAAGACATTACCTCTTTACCATGAAATAAATTCAACTTTTTAATCTATTTCTATTACTTAGTCTTTTGGGCACACAGATTAATCAGTGGGAGGAAAGATAATCCATAGAGAATATTGACAGCTGAAAAAAAAATGTCCCTAGTAGGCCCTAATGTGCCTTGTTCAGGTCTCTGAACCACATTCAGAGCTTCACTCTAGCAAACTGGCCCTGCCTCCCTGCTTTCAGACGCAGTATGTACCACATCACCCTGGCTCTAGGTGAATGTCTCTCTGGGGTCCAGTGCATCTGCAGGTAATGCATTTTTTTGAGTTCTGCACTCTGATGTGGAGGGGCCAATAGTGGCATGCAGACACTTTTTAACGTACATATGATCAGGGTATCTAGCCAACTCCTTTATCTGAGACACTTATTTAAGAGTTTTTCTGGAGAAAGCATAAACCAGTATTGAATGAGAGGTACAAATATCTCTTTCCAAGGAAAGTTCCAAATAACTCTTATTTTACTTTTTCACCTCAAAACAACTCTTGGGGGCCCATGAGAACTAAGCATTTGAGAGGCCTAAGTCTAGACAAATGTGGGCAACTATAATGGGCAAAGCAGATGGAGGCAGAAAAGTGAACACAGTGGAAAAAAGAGGATTCTCCCTCCTCTCATATACTTCCTGAATCTAACCGCAGAACTCCATTGCCTTCTCTATCACTTCCACAAAATTTCATAACCTCCTTTTAAAACATACTTACCAGAATAAAGGATGTAGTTTCCAGTCTTGGTGCTCTTTGACACAATTAACTTTTGGCATCAGTTCACAAATCTGGATCATTTTACTTCTGTGGCCCTACAAAACCATAGGTTTTTGCATTAGTTCATGTAAAACAGAATTTATTTCATAAGATCCTTTATCTCCCTTTTACCTGATACAGCCTACTTTTTTGAGTATAGGAATGGCATTAAATCTTAGGATACATGAAAATCCTACATTTTTTTTCCCCTTCATCTATTTCAATTTCTTAGAGTAGTAGGACCCTAGAGAAATGGGTGCTGGGGTGCCTTATATCTAGTGTACTTTGGTTCTGTATTATTTTGTTTCCCTTTTTTCTAGAGATGATAGATGGTCTACCAATTTCCAGGAGAGTGAAAGTTATGAAAAGAATTTTCAAATAATCACATTGTTTGGAAGGTAAAGAAAGAAGAAATTGGATTGGGTGATTTTTGAAACTTCTTATTCAGTATTTCCAGTTATAAAGTTTAGCCTGCTTAGTCCTAGTATAATCTTTTGAATGTAACTAAGGTACTAGTTTTCGGACATGTTCACTTCAGATCATGAAATGTGGGTTATAGATTACCCAGAGGGATACACACTGGGAGACAGTAATTAATCGTAATGGAGCTAACATCTACTGAGTGTTTACTAAGTGCCAGGCACCTTCCTAAGGGCTTTATATACATTGCCTTATTCCATTTCAGTAAAATTTAGGAAGTCGATACTGTTTATTTACTCTGTTTTACAGATGAGAAAAGTAAGGTTCAGAAACATGAGGTAATTTTCGCAGTGACACAGCTTGCGAATGACAGGACTGAACAAGACTTAGATTTGATTCCCAAGGCTAATACAGCAGGGATTATCTCCATTTTGCAAATGAGTGAATCAGAGATGTTAAGTAACTTGGCCTAAAGTGACATAAATGGTGACTAACAGTGGTGTCAGGATTTGAACTCATGTCTACTTTTCTCTATAACTCATGGTTTTAACTATTTTAAATTCTAGGATATCAATGAGCATTAAGGAAGGTTGTAAGAGAACACAACGCATTGAGAATATTAGAATTTTAAAAAAATTAAATTAGATTGACTGCTATTATAAATCAGGCCTTAAAGATTAAGGTTTTTGTGCCACATCGACTAAGGGCCTAAATGGCAAGGATAACTTGGTATATAATGGATGAGAATGTCTGAGGGCAGAAAAGGGACTTTAACAAAATATGGTATCACTGAGAGATGCCATCATTAATTTATTTACTGTTGGCTGCTGTGCTTTCAATCTCTGTTGCAATTCCCACATTGAGGCTGTTCCCACCCTTCCTGTGTCCCTTGAGCTGAGCAGGCACTTCCTGTCCTATTGGAAATGAAAGTTAGAGATTGGGGGTGTGGTATGTATGTATTTACTCTGCAGAATGTTGGTACTGTCTGTCCTATTATCATAGCAAAAAAGTGACAGAAAAGCTAGAATAGAAACTGGGACTTCATTTAAGGGAGGGTTTGGGCTTAATGTTAGTTGTGGCAAAGCAGACAGGATTCATTTATGTCTTCAGAGACTATCCGTGATGGCAGCAAGGTGGCCTGAAGAAGGTATTTGAAGGCTTTCATTCTACATCCCTTTTCCATTTGGATTGGTATGAGTGACGGTATCATTCTTAAATTTTTGGTTTCCTACAGGTTTCTTTTCTTTCTTTCTTTTTTTCTCCCCAGGTGTCTTTTCTTGTTAAGGTTACTTCTACAAGACATTCCTCTGAAACAGAGGTGAGTGTTATAACTGTGTTAGGTTCTTGTCTTATGTTCTTGTTTTCTAAGAATTTGGCAGTTTTCTTCTTTGTGAGACATATTACTTATTAAACAGTAATTTTTTTCTAAAGCCCAGAGACAACCTGAAGCAAACATCTCAACTCTGAACTTCAGTTTGGGCATCAATTCCAGGTTTGGTGAGTACCTCTAATTGTTTCAGATTCATGGAACTTGAAGACCAGGAAACAGTGAGATCAAGAGTCAAATAAGATAGCTTATAATTGAAGAAACCAGTAGGCAATTTTGACTCAAAAAAAGCTGGGGGCGGGGGGCAGGGGTGGAAAGAAACTACTAGGCACGAAGTTTCATGACATAGTCCTGTTTGATAATTCCTTCCTAAGTATGAAGTCATACCTGGGGAAATCTGAATAGGAGTGAAAAACATTAGCCCATCAGTGTGACCCAAGAGGAACAGAACTGTCCACAGAGCTGACACTAGTTATTTCCCATACTGTTTTGTTTGTCTCTGTTCTTCGGTGAGCTCGTCTGTGTTCTTTCTTTATGTATTAAGATCACTGTAAATATAAAGTGGGGGAGCTCATATTACATATTCTTTCTCAATATGATTTTCTTCACTGTTCTCCAAGGCAATGTCTCAGTGGCCCCTGTAAAATCAAAGTTGAAATCTTCTTCTAGTTGACATCTAAGGGAAATAAATCCTTATTGTCTTTCCACAAGGATCAGAACTTTTTCTGAGGAAAGGGGATGGAGTTGAAAAAGATAGACCTAAGAACTTTTCTTTTTGCTTTAACTACTAAGCCTGTAAAAACTTTAAAAAAAAATAACATCTTGGGCATTAGGACCCAGTGGAAGTGCCTCATTCAGACTCTGGGTTAACTTCTCTCAGTGACGTCAACAAGCAGCCCTAGCTCATTCTTTACCCCCCCATCTCCCTCCCTCTTGCTCCTTTTCTCCTCCTTTCTCCTCCCCCTCCCTTCTCCTTCCCTCTTCCTCCCTCCCTTTCCCTCCCTCCCTCCCTCTCTCCCTCTCTCTTTCTCCCTCTTTCTTTCCCTCTCCCTCTCTCCCTCCCCCTCTCTCTCCCTCTCTCTTCCCCCTCCCTGTCCCTCTCCCTCTTCTTTCTCTCAGCTCCCAATCATTAAAGAGAAAATGCTGCTATCAGTGGCTTCCAGACCTGGGATTTCGACTTTTGGCTATAACAAGAACAACAAGAAGGTAGGGGAAAGTGCTTTTTTGGAATTCAGCTACTTCCTTTTCTGGGGCTCCGGAGTGCCCTTGGCTTTAACATTCTCCTTAAGACAGGAAAGGGATTCCTCTCTCATCTCAGCACCTCTTTCTTTTCAACCACTTTCGGCATCTTTTCTCACCTGGTTCTGAAGTTCCAGGAATTTACAGTCTTTGTATGTGAGACCTGAGAAAGCAGGGGAAATACAAACAAATCAAGCTTGCAAGTTTGTATCTTTGTGAAAAGAAGTTAGTTTGACTTCCTGCTGATGTACCCAATCTCCACAGGGATAATATGACATCTCAGAACCTGGCCCCCAGCCTACCCCCTAATCTTTTTTATTAACTGTTTCCATACCCCTCCACCCCATTTTCCTTCCTTCCCATTCCACTAGCATTATCAGGTAGCAGAAATACAGTCAGTGAAATCACAACAGCTTCATCAGGAACTGGGTGTACTGTTCTACACTAGATAGAGACCCTACCACACCCAGCCTAAAGGGAGTCTTAAGAGAAGACACACCTTGGGCAGAAGCTCTGTGATTCTTTGGGTTTTGCTGCTGCGCTGGTGCTTGGAAAACTGGAGATAATCAGGATCAGCAGGGGATCTTTGGAGTCTTAACTTGAGGCTGCCCGAGTTGTGCTATGCTTGAGCACATGAGCAGTCTGGAGGAGAGGTGGACAATCATGCCCACATTTGCCAGGGAATATCCTTGGCAGTTTCTTGGAATTTCAGGGCACACAGTACTGATTAGGAGGAACTTCATCCTGTAACAGAAATACCCTTTACCCTCTCTCGGTGTTGTAGCTGTTCGTAGAAGAAAAAGGTACCATAGACATGTAGGGATCTTTTTATCATCTGATGGAGTGTTAGAGGGTTGGAAGGATTCCTGTGGCTTTCTCCATAGCTAAAGAGACACAGGTAGATTTAAACAAAGTATCTGATCAAGACAGTAGGTAAATGTTTAGACCCAAACACTTAGTTTATGGGTACTAGTTTATGTTATTCATTCTGTTTATATCCTTAAGAAATATGGTCCCATCTGTGTTTGTTGGTTATCCATAGTATATATAATATATACACACATATATGGACATATGATGTTGATAGAGGGATATTTAACCTGTCTTTATTCTTTTCAAATCTTATATAGTACTGTATGAAAGTTTCCTTCTTAATTTTTTCTCTCCAAGTCTTTCAGGTTACCCAGACCCATTAAAATAAAGTAAAATTAATTACAGAAATTAGTTTTTTTCCTATTAGGGGTTTCATGTATATAATGCTATCTAAAATCTTCTCTTTTCTTAGCTCTCTACTCCCTTTCCCACTTATAGTATAAAAAACATTTAACCACCTTCTAAATCTAGGATAGTATAGGGACAGGAGGTATGATTATGGATTTGGATTCAAATCTTATATCTCTTCCTGATACCGTGTAAGGTTTGAGAAAATTCAGGAAACATTGTGGGAGGGATAGACACATATTTACTAATGTATTTGTCAAGAACTCTTTGGGTTCTTACAGATCAATGTTACGATGACATCACTTTGTGGCTATATATATATGATTCCTTGTGTGTATAGATAGGTTTGTGCATATTGGGTGTATTTAAAGCATTACTACATTACTTTTTGTTTTTGTGTTGATATGTAGGGCTTTATGTGTTCATTTCTCTGGGGGGGGGAGTATGTTGGATTGATTTGCTTATGTAATTTGTGTGTTTTTATACCCAAGGTTAAGTTTAAAAAATAACTTTTATTAGTTTTTAGTAGTAAATATAAGACATGCCCATTAAAAAAAAACGCATAAAGAGGTACGTAAAATTAAAAGTCAAGTCTTCCCTTCATGTCTTGATGTTCATTATCCATATCTCACCCCTCAGGAAAATAACTGTTAGCAGTTTGGTGTCTGTATCCTACCAGACATTTGTCTATGACAAGGTGAAATTTTAATTTTGACATTGGCTTATTTGCCATTTCTATTAAGAACTTAGTTTCTCAAGTAGAACAAGCCTATGTAATAAAGTTTTTGGACCTGTCTAATACGTTTAAAAAACTGAAATAAAGAACAATCAAACTCTAAACTTCTGAAAAAGTACAAATTATAAATATCTGCTTTAAAGAAAAACAGACATACAGAGCAATGGAATAGAATTGAGAGCCCAGAAATAAACCCACACATATATGGGCAATTAATTTGCGATAAAGGAGCCAAGAATATACAATTGAGAAAAGAAAGTCTCTTCAATAAATGGTGTTGGGAAAACTGGACAACCACATGCAAAAGAGTAAAACTAGATCACTGTCTTATACCACACACAAAAATTGACTCCAAATGGATCAAAGACTTGGATGTAAGACCTGAAACAGTAAAATACATAGAAGAAAACATAGGCACTAAGCTCTGGACACTGGTCACAGTGATGTTTTTGTGAATTTGACTCCAAAGGCAATAAACAAATGGGGCTACTAAAAAGCTTCTCCACAGTAGTGGAAACCATCAAGAAAACAAAAGGGCAACCAACCAAATGAGAGAAGGCATTTGCAAATGATGCTTCCAATAAGGGGTTAATATCCAAAATATATAAAGAACTCATATAACTGAACAATGACAACAAAACTATCTGATTGAAAAACAGGCAGAGGGGCCGGCCAAGTGGCACATTGGTTAAGAACTGGCTTGGGACGCCAGAAGACCCTGGTTCGGATCCCACATATGAGGGCCAGTGACACTGCCCTCTACAGCTAAGATGCTGAACAACAGCTCGACCTGGAGCTGGGCAGCCGTGGGTCACTGGCGACAGCGTGGGGTGCAGTCTCCTGCTGCAGTGGGCTGCTATAAGCTACCATGTGTAGCTGGCAGCCAGCATGAGCGGCCATCCAGAAGCTGGCGACTGATCTGCCTCGCCCAGGAAGAGCGCAATGATGGTGCCAGCTTGGGCCAGTGAAGCGACAGCCTCCACAACTAGACTGAAGAACAAAACAACAGCTACTTGTCTGTTCCCCTTCCCCCGATTCTCCAATAAAATCTTTAAAAAAAACAAAACAAAACAGGCAGAGGATTCGAATATACATTTTTCTAAGGAAGACATACAGATGGTCAACAGGTATCTGAAAAATGTTCAACACCATTAATTATTAGGGAAATGCAAATCAAAACCACAATGAGATATCATCTCACACCTATTAGAGTGCCTGTTATCAAAAAGAGAAAAAACAATATGTGTTGGTGAGGATGTGGAGAAAAGGGAACCCTTGTGCCTGTTGGTGGGATTGTAAATTGGTGCAGCTACTGTGAAAAACAATGTGGAGTTTCCTTAAAAATTTCAGAATAAATTACCAAATGATCTAACAGTTCTTCTGGGTATTTATCTGATCTGAAGAATATGAAAACACTAATTAGAAATGATACATGTACCCCTATGTTCATTGCAGCATTATTTACAATAGCCAAGATGTGGAAATAACCTAAGTGTCTGACGGATGAATGGATAAACAAGATGTGGTATATATACACAATGGGATACCATTCAGCCATAAGAAAGATGAAAGATTGCCATTTGCAACAACTTGGATGGCTCTTGAGAATATTATGCTAAGTGGAATAAGTAAGGACCAAAACTGTATGATTTTACTCATATGTGGAATATGATGCAAAAAAGTAACAAATGAACAACAAAAACCCCCCAAATTTCAAAGATACTGACAACAGAATGGTGGTTACCAGAGGGGAAGGCGGGTAGGGGAAGGGCAGACTGGGTAAAGGGGGTCAAACATATAGTAACAGAAAGAAACTAGACTTGGTGGTGAGCATACAATAGAATATACAGGTATCGAATGATAATGTTGTACACCTTAAATTTATGAAATTAACCAATGTTACTTCAATAAAGTTAAAAATTTTTAAAATCTGCTTTTATTGTCCATCATTATGTTATATAGAAATCTAAAAATAATAGATCTGTAGAGATCTGCTACATTAAGAATTTTTATGTTATAATTTACTGTAGTTATTACTTCTAGTTTGTAGAATAAAAATAATTGCTATTGAACTCAGTTTGAAAAGCTATTTGTATACCACTGTTGTTACTTGCTTATTTGAAAGTGTATTAATTTTATTTACTTGATTTTAAAAAGTAGGATTGCTTTATTTTGAAACATATTTGTATATTTCACTGATCAGGGAAGTTGTTTCCTGAGGATCCCATGGCAAGTATAGTTTTCATGTTCTTTTTTGGCTGTGGTAAATATAGGAATCAATCAACAAATGTATAATGCCTAATAAAGGCAGATTCTTTCTCAGGATGTAGGGTTGAATATCCATTCCTATTATTGAAATTAAAATAGTCACAGAAGGGGGGAAAATGTGGATTTCAAAGAGAGGTTCTGCAAAATAATGTACATTTAAAAAATATTTTAATAGCCTTCAATTATTCTTGGTTCATTAAAAAAGACTGAAGTAAAAAGATCAGTGTTCTAAGGTCTCAACATTGTTTCTTTGATGTTTCAGAGTTCCCTTAGAGAGATTTGAATATAGGTGAGATTGAAAGAGGAAATGTTTGGAACTAAAGGAATTTCAGACTTGTAAAGGGCCTAACCACGCCTTCGCTTACATCATCTTCCTGGCATGTGTTATTATAATTTAACTCCTCAGAGTATCAACAACCATTTCCTTTGGAAAAAAAAAATGGGACTGCAGTTTAACGTGGGATACTTTGCCTTCCCCAGCCTACTTTGAATGAATTTTTGTTTTCTCTGGATCTTAACGTATTGAAGACCAAGGGAGGGTGGGAGACAATGATGAGAGTAAAACTGACTGGTGGCTTTTGCCAGATTTTCACTCTTTTAGAAGCTTCAGTTACCTGAAATTTTCAGAAGTATTTACTCAGGAGAGAAGAAAGTGGGAAGCAATACTTTAATATACTTCTAATAGGGAGAGAGAACCTTTTTGTGTTTACTACATTTTCATCTAGTTTCCATCAAATTCAAT